ATTGCACTTTAAAATAAATCTGAGACCAAAACAAGATCAAGAAGATATCACAAAGGCTAAAACTCCAACACTAGACAGATTACTAAAGTAGGAGCAAGAGAAGTTCCTAAGAAGAGGAAAAAAATTAAAAAGCAAATATCTGATCAGGCAGATGTTACATAACAATGAACGCTAAAATAGCAGATAGCAGGTTTCCAATACAGCATAAAAATGTGAGGAGACACGCAATTAAAGAAGGCCTCTAAAAATAACAATAGAATAGGAGGAGAATTTTATCCATACAATACTCTGGAAGGTTGCTATTCTTGTCTCCCTCTCCACTCTGCACATTTTACAGTGGAGAAAACAGATTCAGAATGGAAAAACACCTTGTTTAAACAGAGAGAGAGAGAAGTTGTGTTCTGCACACAGATCTTGCTAGAATCTCTGGAGCAGATTGACGCCAGCAGAGTGGATAAGACAAGAACTTTCTTAATAGATACAAGGTGATCGGTGGCGATAAGATACTCCAAATACCAGATCCAGAGCCCCAGATGAGATGGCTGAGCCCCCAAACTAGCCACCAACCTTACTTAAATAGCCTGAGCCTATATTATGTAAGAACCTGCATAGAGGTGATATCAGCTATGGGACCAGAGAGATGTAAAGAGGGAGCAAGGAGCCAGCCCTATTGTCTTGGTTTCTTCTAATGTATATGCAACATTTTTATAGGACAATGAGAATTTTTCTCTTGTGCAACTCAATTCTGATAATCCATATAGTTGACTCAAAAGACTAATTTTTCATTTACCCTTTCGGTTCAGAAAAGTACAAATAGCATACACATCCCAGGGAATGTGGCTCCAGTAGGGGGACTGGGCTAGACGCTGTATCAGAGAGGAAGGCTTTAATACTAGCGTTCTGTCTGGTGTGCATTCATTTCCACTTTCTGCTAGGCCCCCAACCAAGTGCTCTGATTTTCAACAATTTATCAATCCCTTCCCATCCAACCTTCCCAGTGACCAATAGAGGGCAGAATATCTCTTTCTCCAGACTCCATCAAAAAGATAATCTAATTCCCTTTCCTTTCATACTTTTTTTCTGTTTGGAAGACTCTTTTCTGCCCCATCCATCCCTTTCAAAGTGCTTATTTTTAGATTTATTAAAACCAAGAGAGATTTGTCAAAGTATTCAAATATCTTTTTGTCTGTACTTCTTCCCTTTCTCCCCTTTTCAACTCATTCATGCATGCATGCATTCTTATAAATCCTACCCTCTCCAATGAATTGACAAGTTCAGAACTAAAGAATTATTTCTAATATAACATGATAAATACTACCAACAGTGGTACTTACAAAATTCATAGGACAGATAAGGGAATAAGCTCAAGAAGCCTTCCCAGAGAAAAAGCACTAACCTATATTCTGTATGGCTTTAATTTTTACATTTGCACATGCCTTTCACAGTCCATGTAATCCTTCCCAGACCTTCCCTTTTTTAAAATTATTTTTATTCTTTTTTTTTTTTTTGCAGTACTAGGGTTTGAACTCAGGGCCTTGCATTTGACAAGCACTCTACCACTTTAGCCAGGCCTCAGTCCTTTTGCTTTTAGTTTGTTTTTCAGATGGGGCCTTGCAGTTTTTTTGGTTTTTTTTTTTTTGCCCCAGCAGACCTTGGACTGCCTCTGCCTCTTGAGTAGCTGGTATTATAGCCATATATGTCACACCCAGTTTCCAAGCCCATTTTTTTGGATGTTTTATTCAGTCAGCAGTTAAAGACACAATACTGAATATTAAAGACTTAGTAACAAGCAAGAAGAAAAAGGATGAACAAATAAATAACACGTCTTATGTCAGGTGGAGAGTACTATGGATAGGCAAAAGCACGTTCAAGTGGATTGGGTGCTTTGAAGTAGTGGTTGCTATTTTCTCTGTGTGCTTAAGACCTCTTAGGTGATATCTGAGCAGAGAACTAAAGGAACCAAGAGAATGTGTGATGTGGTTATCAGGGAAAGAGTTTCGGGCAGGAAGAAGAGCAAGTACAAACACTGAGAAAGAAATGAGCTTAAAGGCCCAGTCCCTTTCTCACTTGACATCCAGTTGTCATCATGTTGGATTCATCCAATGTCTTTCTATACCCTTAGTCTGATCTCTGAAGAGGAGGGGATCCTATTTGTGTTTGAGCCCCAAGGTCATTGCCTCAGTTTCTGATCACCTTATAATCTCTGCTGGATCCCAGAGAAGAAAGTTTAACTGACCCCCTACCTCACATACTGGTGTCAGGTAAGCTGCCAGGCTCTTGGAGGTTTCTAGCTTACAACTAGACTAGCTTCAAGAAATCCTGTTTGTTTCTATGACTATGATTCTTTTGAGTTGCTGCATCCATCTTAGTCTGGAGAATCTATCTAGCCCTTTCTAAGCCTGACTTGAATTCCTATGAGAAGTTAGCCTGTGTCTACCTTCCAGGTTCTTCTGCCTTGAAAGTGCAGGAAATGATGGATAGTGACCTCCACACTGTCCCTCACCTGTGCTCTAATTTGCAGTATTCTCCAATCCTTAATATTATTGCTTTAAAAATGAAAAATACAAACAAAAAGGGCAAAACTTTGACAATGATTATAATCCCATTTTCAAACTAAAGCAGCTTTTTTACTTTTGCCTTTTTTCCATCACCTGACCTTGGCTTTTCCTGAGACCTACAACGTTATCTGCTGCATTTTAATAATGTCTTTATACTTGCATTTGAACAGAAATATAGATAACCTGTCTTGCAAGAGTGGAAAGGGCCTTTTAACACAGTTAAATGATGACAGTTTGTTGGCAAATTCCACCATGAAGTGCTGGTGCCTTGTTGGGTTACAAGAAACCACAATATTTAGCACAGTTGTGTGTTTTATTTAGTTTTGCTGCTAGAAAACAGAGCATGTTTTAAATGATTTTACCATTTAGTAGAATCATAGGGTGCTGAGGGCCTTTGGAGATTATCTGATCGGATCCCTAAGCCATTGCCAGAGTTGTCTTTTACAACATCCCTGGAAACTGCTCCTTCCAACAGCTCTTTAAAGTCTGTTGCCCGCTCCCCTAGAAAATGGGGTGTTCTCAATAATGAACAGCTTTCTTATAAATCTCTAATAATCAGTGATTAAAGTGAGTCTTCTCTTCAGGACAAAGAAATATAATTGGAGAAATGTTTATGGTTTTATGATGCCAATGATGGGGAATATTCCACTGGTAACTTCGGCTTTTTGGTTGAGGATTGGCATGGGTAAGCCAAAATATTCATCATGAATACAAATTTGTTCCACAAACATAAGATTTCAAAGGTATCTTTGTTTCCTTTTTCCTTACACTGCCGCTATTAACTTTTGATTCATTACTCATGACTTTCAGGATCCACTTGGCTGCCACCTTTCTGCAAGACCATCTTGGGTCAGAGGGTAGACAGCCAAGTCCACTTCACACCTGCCAGGCGTTTTTTTTTTTCCCATAGGGATCCAACTCGCTTTTTGTCAATTCACTCATTTTATTTATCCTCCTGTCAACGGTGGGCCGCTATCAAAATGATCATTCGTTTTCACCCATTAATGATCAGAACCATTATTGGGTGAATTTTTCCTGAAAGCCACAGAAGAGAAAAAATTTCCAAATGATGTATTTTGCATCACTTCGGCTGCTTGGTTCATTGCAAAGAATATTTTACCTTCTTTATTAGTACATTCACAATAAATTTTTAAAAAAAGTAAGGAAAACCCACTTCTGCCTAGGAGCTTGAGAAACAAAAGGGCAACGTCAGATGACTTTAATATACATGAGATGTACGTCATATCAACACTTGTAGTGATCCAGTATTGGCTTTACTCCAGGGAGAAGGGATCAGTCACCTCCACCCACAATACAGCACCTCCGCACCGACAAAACGTAAAGGATGTGCACAGTTAAAATTCAACTCAAGCTCCAGCGGTCCCCAACGCGGAATATGTACCCAGACCATTTACCAGCACTTAATTAATTCACCAGCAGCTTCGCTGGGGACGTCTCGGGCTTCCCGAGACTCCATTACATAATATCTTTTACAAAGTCTATTCCCAGCTCGAGTGGGAAAATGGATTCTCGTCCAGTTTGCGAAGGTTCCACGCCTTTGCTTCCCTTTCCTGGGGTCCAATCCGGCCGGGTGCCCAGCCCAGGTTGCAGCAATCGCTCCAGCCCCGGAGCTTCTAGGGGGGTGGGGGTGGGGTCCCAGCCTCTCTCAGAACTCAAAACTGCACTCTGGGAGGTGTAGCCTTGTCGCCCTCGGTGATCCCAGGCTAGTCTTGGTGTCCACGGTGAGGGCGGACGCTCGGGACGCTGCGACTCCGGCTTCCTGGCTGGGTGCGCCCGGAGCGAAGCCGAGCCGAGCCGCAGCGCGGCCACGGGGCCAACTCGGTGCGCCCGGCTCCCGGAGGAAGAGAAGGGAGTGGGGGGAGGAGGAGGAGGAGGAGGCGTGTAGGGAGGAAAGGCCCGGCGCCCCGGAGGAAGGGGGAGGGGAGGGGAGAGGGCCGGCCGGGCCGCGAGGGGTGTGGGGGGGGCAGCCAATGAGCGGCGCGCGGCGCGGGCGGGGGTGGGGGGGGCGAGGTCTGGTGGGGGATGAGGTAGGATGGGGGAGGGCGCAGCCCGAGCGGCGGAGGCTCGAGCCATAAACAAGCGCCCGGAGGAGCCGCGCAGGAGTGAGGCGAGTCGTGCGCGCAGAGCGGACGCCGCGGACCTTCTGCTGCGGCACCGCGCCCACTCGGCGGCTCGGGAGGCGGGGACCCGCCCGGAGGCTGTGCCGCCGCCGCGGGGCCGACCGACCAGGAGGAGGAAGAGGAGAGAGAAGAAGGAGGCGCCGCCAGCTTGGGCTAGAGCTAAGCGCAGCCACCGCCGCCGCCAGAAGTTTGGGTTGAACCGGAGCTGCCGGGAGGAAACTTTTTTTTCTTTTTTTTTTTCCTCCCCCTCCCTCCCAGGAGGAGGAGGGGAAGCCACCGCTGCTGCTGGCGCCAACGCTAGTGGGCTCGGGGTCGGCGCGGCCCGCAAGGGGGGCGGGGGCCTCGCCCCGCGAGGGGAGGCTCGCCCCGGGGGCCCCGAGGGGGGCGGCGAGGACCGCGGGCTGCGGGTGCGGCGGCGGCGGCGCGTGTGCCCCGCGTAGGGGAGGACGGCCGCCCCGCTCCCGGCCCGGCTGCGAGAAGGAGGCGGCGGCGGCGGCGGCGCAGGAGGATGTACTTGGTGGCGGGGGGCAGGGGGCTGGCCGGCTGCGGGCACCTCTTGGTCTCGCTGCTGGGGCTGCTGCTGCTGCTGGCGCGCTCCGGTACCCGGGCGCTGGTCTGCCTGCCCTGCGACGAGTCTAAGTGCGAGGAGCCCAGGAGCTGCCCGGGGAGCATCGTGCAGGGCGTCTGCGGCTGCTGCTACATGTGCGCCCGCCAGAGGAACGAGAGCTGCGGCGGCGCCTACGGGCTCCACGGAGCCTGCGACCGGGGGCTGCGCTGTGTCATCCGCCCCCCGCTCAATGGCGACTCCATCACCGAGTACGAAGTGGGCGTCTGCGAAGGTAAGGCCGCCCGCCGCGCCCCCCCCCCCACACACACCTGGCCCGCGCCCAACAAAGTTTGGCTGAGACTTCCCCGAGGAGAGATGGCTCCGCGGGAGGAGGGACGGCAGCCGCCCCCGGGAAGGTGTCCCTGCGCCCCTCGATCCTTGCTCCCTACTTCTCCCTGACATCTAGCCTAAGCGGGCGAGGTTTTGGATGTCCCGGGTGGAGGCGGGCGATGAGGGATCGCTCCCCTGGCCCCGAGCACCCCGGCACACGTGTGGCGGTCCCAGCTTATGCTGAGTGGCTGGCCTCGCCCAGAGGTCGGGGCGCCGCGGACGTGTGCGCCCCTGCCGCCTTCGTCGCGTGGCGCAGTGTGGCACCGAGCGCTGCACCCTGGCCGCTAAGCCTTTGTTGGCGGAGGAACCGCATCTCCACATCGCACTCCCTATATGACTCTGATGATTTTTCCTTTGCGCTCTTCCTTCTCCTCCTCCTCCTCAGCATATAAATCAGTTTCAGCTCCGGAATATGTCAGCCCAGGCGAAGTTACGCACGGTGGTTACTCATTTATCTGCCTATTGAAAACGGTCAAAGGCTCTGTCTCCTAGAAGGAAGGGGGTGGGGTGGGGGCTGCACCTGGGAGTGGAAAGTTGTTGCTGACTATTGAGGCTGCCTTTTAAGAGCCGAGATCCGCGTATTTCTAGCCGTGTGCCCGTGCCTTCTTTTTGTTTGACAGCGGACTGGTTCTGCGCGGAGCATTGTGCACCGCGGTGTCCGCTGACCGGGAAGGATTTGATAGTGGAGCCTCCCTCGTCGGGGACCTGTGTCGGTGCGCGTCACCTTCACCCTTGCTCGCCTGTGTCTGCCTCGGGGTGCCCGGTGTGGGTTGGGGGTCTAGAGAGAATGGCAGTGAGTTCCTTTTGTATGCCCAGTGGACAGGACCCGGTGAGCTCCAGTTAAAAGAGGGATTCCTGTTCCGGCTGACGCTGGGCGATGCTCTTTGGGGCTTCTAGTGACTGAGCAGAGCCCCAGCAGCCTTATTTCTGGGGGAGTCGCGAGGGGGTTACTACTCACAGCCATAGCTTAAGGAGACCCGGAGGGGTTTATTCTGAAGCGCGCGCTCGTGTGTGTGTGTGTGTGTGTGTGTGTGTGTGTGTGTGTGTGTGTGTGTGTGTGTGTGTGTGTGTTGTGCTGGAAGATTGAAAAGGAGATAGCAACCTTAAGGATAAAATGAATCTATTAAAAAGGTTTCAGTGCTGTGATTCTCTTTAAATACAACACACACACACACACACACACTTATTTTTATCTGTAGTTTTTAGGATTTGGAGCGTTTGGGAAAATTGAGGCGGCCTTTCTGGTTTGGAAGCTAGTGGGCAGTAATGAGTGAAGGGAACTCTTTTCAGAGGGAAGGGCCCTACACTGCTGCACCCATAGGACTTTGCTTAGAAGACTTTGCCTGAAACACAGAAGCCTCTCCCTTGGTGTGAAGTTCTATTTTATAACATGTTTGTTTCTCACCTCAGGAAAAATGGCCATCAGACTGACTCAGATACAGCTTTATGTGTTTGACTTTGGGAGTTGTGAATGACTTAGACTAAAGCATCTTTGAACCCTGCTACTTGGAGCATAACTTGCTCCAGCCTCCCATAAATCTGCAAAAAACAAGCAACACGAAGCAAGGTTAAATGCACAGTGGAAAGTGCTGTGCTCTGAGGACTTCTGGAGGCTCTAAGAATTCTAACCCTTGTTTGTTTCTTCCTCATATGTTTCTGGTGAAGGAAATGCTCAGGGAACATTTACAGTAATCAAGTGTTTTGGCAGCAACATCCCATGTCACAGTACGGAGTTATTTTGGCAGTTTGCTGGTGAGCCTTTCATTCCTCTGAAATGATGCGATCCCTCATGGCTTCCTTTCTTCTGGTAACACCCCTGCACTTGGTTTTAGCCTTGAGAATGCTTGGCAGTGTTTCTTGACATGATTGTGTTTCAATTAGTTTTCTCTAGAAACACTTTTTATTTAGCAGGTCTGTTTTCTACTACCAAAATTGTGTTCTCAGGATACTTTTTCTTTTTTTTTTTTATCAGAATTCCAAAAGCAGCAGTCAAGTTGCATTCTAAATCCATGAAACCAAGGTAAAAAGGACAGTGCTTCCTGACATGATAAAATTAATGGATTTAGACAGATGTTTTCAAGTGTGTGTCTAGAATTTCAGATACATTATTACAAGATTTATGAAAAGTCTAGGGTTAGTGAGTAACCCTTTATCTTTTTAAAAATTAGAAAAGTCTTTCAGTTCACTTTTTATCTACTGTTATTTTTTCTTATTTTTCTGTTACTTTGCAAGAAATTTCTCAATGGCCATTGTTTCCCTCAGTTTCCATTTTTAATCAGAAATTCATGTGTGATTATCATAACTAACATGAATAGGACTTGATATTTTATTCACGTTAGTCTCTTGTGCTGCAATTTTTGCACTAAAATGACCCCTACTGGTTGTGTCTGTTAATGAAAAGTCTTTTTGAAACTTATCTAGTTGGCGATACTGAGAAAACGTATTGCATGGCATAGAAATATTGTCATGACTAATCTACCTGCTTTCAATGACAAAATTTGGATATAAGTTATATTACTCTGTTTTCCAACTTGCAGTTATTTTTGTTACTCCCATATTGGCTTGCGGGGGGGGGGGTGAGGGAGGTTGTGTTTTTAACAGCAGTTCACAAAGTGAGTTAAACTATGGGTCAAAATGGACCCCTTTCAACTCACTTCTTCAGTTTTGTTTTAAGGCATACTGACCCATAGTGGGGTCTCAATAAAAGTACATGAGCAATCCTGTCCATAAAAAGAACTCCACTGGGGGAAAAAAATAAGTTTCTGTAAGACTAGATAATGTGATGATGAGTTGTGTCCTGTGAATCATGTGAAATGTACACTTGGATTTCTTTTCAGCAGTTAGGTTGTTATTAAGTCATGATGTAATACTAATAGTTCTTCTTCCTTTTGACTAAGTATATTTGAAAAATTGAGAATGGAGCCAGGTACTTAAAGTTATCTCTGTTCTCTTGATGTCTTAAAAAGTGCCTTCTGGTCCTAGAAGGACGCAGTGCCCTTTCCTGTTTCCACTCATCTGGTGAGTCTTCCTGTTGCCCTTTGCAGAGTCCTAACTAGACTGTTTGCTTGGCCAGGCTGCCTGCCTCCAGGGAAATCACCTAGAAGCCAAAGGAACAAGTTTGGTTTCTAACCCCTGGGGAAGAAGTCTGTGTGGGAGACCTTGGGGATATCAGAGCTCTGAAAACTAATGAAGTGAGATTGTCTAGAAAGAATGTTTTGATTGGACAGTGAGAACTGTTTTGAACTAAGGGAATGAGGGCCAGTTTTTCTTCTGTGTGGATTTATGCTTCTGGGAGAGGTGGGGCAAGGTGAAGAAGCAAGGGCAGCCTTTTGTCCCTGGGTAATAAAAGGGCAGATTATAGCTTGAATTTGTCAGTTTGTAAGGACATGGTGATTAGGAACCAAGTGGACACTGTTGAGTGGTTTGCTCTGAGGACTTTGTTGGATTAGATCCAGGCCATCTTAACTTCAGATAAGCACCAACATTTTTTCTTTTTCAAAGTGAATATTTACTCTGTGGCTTCAGTCTTTATGGAACTTAATTTTCCAAAATCACTGCCATTAAAAAACTGCCTCTTTTCAGAACCCTAGCTATTTTTAAGTTTTTCCTTCTACCCATTTCTCATGAGGTGGAGAGAACTAAGTATATGTGGTGTGTACTTACAGCCATATACAGTACAAAAGAAGAGGATTTGTTTTCTGGAACTGTGGCCATTAGTTTAGAGCTTCTTTACTTACTACTACAAGACAGTCAATGGAGATGGTGGCTGCTTGGAAGAAAATGTGTGGGAGATCTGAAGTGAGGTCCAAGAGAGGGGCTTCAAGAACCCAAACGGTACACAAAACGTTGGCTTGTGCAGGGCATATGGTGGGAGCTGCTCTCATTGCTCTGTTGTAGGACCTGGAGTTAAGAGTCCATGAATTTTAATTATTATAAGTTAAATAAAGGAGAGGAGTGGCAAAGTTAATTCTATTATACAGGAGTTAGAAAAATTTTAAAATCCAGGGCTCCAGACTTTGTGAATAATGAGTTTCATTTTCCATCTCAAAAATCTTTAGATAGGATGTACACTTTGATGCCAGAGAGAGAAGCAAGCAGAGGGTGTATAAAATTACGGTAACAAGGAATGGGAAGAGAAACTAATCCAAGTAAACAAGGAAGTAATTAGTTCCTCCCAAGAGTAAATATTGACAAAATACAGGGAGACCAACTATTCACTGCACATATACAAATGACAGGACTCAGTGACCTTCACTTTGACTGTTAGGCTTATAGAATCCTCACTTGTTATTAAGGAGTCCTGTCACATAAAACAACTTGGCACAGGGCAAATGAATTGCATACTATAATAGCAGAAAGGCAAAAACAGCAAGCCAGGGGATGTTTGCCACCTTTAACACATGGGTAACAGTGAGCAGGAAAAACCTATAAGCAGTATGTTGATAGTACAGTTTGTGAGCAGGCAGGTTAATTTATGAGAAAAAGTGAATAATCCTAAAACTGGACATTACCTCTGTTTATAGGAAGTGTTTAGTGATTTGGTGCAAGTTTCTGTGTTTTTCTTCATGGCTTGCATAAGATCCAGTGATCTAGATAAACAGCTTGAGGGCACAGGGGACAGGTTAGGGGATTCAGATAAAACAATTCTGGCTGGGCATGGCGGTCCACAGCTGTAATCTCAGCACTCAGAAGATGGATTGAGGCAGCAAGGTTGAGAGTTTGAGGCCAGCCTAGACTACATAGCTAGTTCCAGGCCAGCCTGGGCCTATATAGGGAGATCCTGTCTCAAAAACAAAACAAAAAAACCAGATGACCATAAAGAGACAGTAAGTGGGTGGACCAAAGAATGATGACAAATGAGAAAAGGAAAAAAATACTAGGTTCATTTTAGCATAACTATCA